GACCCCAAGCTCACCCCACTTGCTGCTGTAGATACAGACCACTGGGGTGTGAATGAGGACACTCTTGCCTCTGGCTTTTGGTTTGGGGACGAGGAGGCTAGGAAGCTTCCAGAAGCATAAAGCTAGGGCAATCATGAAATCCTGATTTGGGAGGACAATTCCAGTTTCAGATGATTTCATTCACGGAACCCACATTGTTTATGCCTCCCTTTCTTTGCCCTTTCCACCCAATCATCTTTAAGATCTATCAATTCCCGTTCTAATACATCTAAGCTTTTCCCACCACCAGTCTAAGCCTCTGTCAGTTCTCTAGGCGAAAGCGCTGGCCTTTGATCTTCGCTCTACAGCCCTTGCCCCCTTTCAACCTGCCCCCTTTTCCCCAACAATACCAAAGTAAAAGTTTTACTATAATTCAAAAAGATACACGCACCCCATGTTCATAGCAGCACTGTTCACAGTAGCCAAGACATGGAAACAACCTAAATGTCCATCAACAGATGAATGGATAAAGAAGACGTGGTTGGGCATCCCTGGTGGCGCAGTGGTTGAGACTCTGCCTGCCAATGCAGGGGACATGGGTTCGAGCCCTGGTCTGGGAAAATCCCACATGCCGTGGAGCAACTACGCCCGTAAGCCACAACTACTGAGCCTGCGCGCCTGGAGCCTGTGCTCCGCAACAAGAGAAGCCGCGATAGTGAGAGGCCCGCGCACCGCGATGAAGAGTGGCCCCCGCTTGCCTCAACTAGAGAAAGCCCTTGCACAGAAACGAAGACCCAACACAGCCAAAAATAAAATAAATAAATAAATAATAAAATTAAAAAAAAAAAAAAAGGCGTGGTACGTATATACAATGGAATTCTACTCGGCCATAAAAAAGAACGAAATAATGTCATTTGCAGCGACATGGATGCAACTACAGATGATCATGCTAAGTGAAGTAAGTCAGAAAGAGAAGGACAAATACCATATGATATCACTTCTATGTGGAATCTAAAATATGGCACAAATGAACCTACCTACAAAACAGAAACAGACTCATAGACATAGAGATCAGACTTGTGGTTGTCAAGGGGGAGGGGGAGAGGAGGGAGAGGGATGGACGGGGAGTTTGGGGTTGGTAGATACAAACTATTACATTTAGAATGGATAAACACCAAGGTCCTACTGTATAGCACAGGGAGCTATATTCAATACCCTGAGATAGACCATAATGGAAAAGAATAGTAAAAAAAGAATGTGTCTCTGTGTATAACTGAGTCACTTTGCTGTACAGCAGAGATTGCCACAACACTGTAAATCAACTACACTTCAATTAAAAAAATAATAATAAATAAATAAAAGTAATTTTTTTAAAAAGTAAATGTTTTAATCATAAATCAGATCATTTCATTCGCTTTGGTGCTAAAACACCTCCTAATGGCTTCCCCTTGCCTAAACTCTTCCCTGTGACCTGAGACCTTCTAGAATCTGGTCTCTGGCCTTTGTTTCAGTCTCACAGCCTTCCACCCATGCAGCCTTCTTTTCTATTTTTCAAAGATGACAAACTTGTTCCTGCCTTAGGGCCTTTGCACTGGCTGTTCCCTCAGCCTAGAACAATCTGCCCCCAGGTGTTAGCAGGGCTGGTTCCTTCTGGTCATGAGAGTTTCAGTTCAACTGTCACTTTCTCAAAAAGTCTCTGACCACCCAATCCAATGTAGCCTCTACCTCCCTCCCCACTCCCTTGCCCTCCCTCCCTCACTTACGTTATCCAATTATATAACTCAATGCTTGTGACTACATGAAATTTTTTTTTTTACATTTTCTCTTTCTTTTTAACTGATGACATACACAGATGGCACAAATTTTTCAAAGTACAAGAATAAAAAATGTCCCTCACTTCCCTGTCACCCAGACACACAATTCCCCTTCTCTGCAGAGGCAACAATTATTTCCACTTTCTTATATATCTTTCTAGATACAGTTTCTAAAATAACAAACATAATATATACTCTTATTTTTCCTCACATGAGGTGATGTGTAAACACACACACACACACACACAAACACACACACTGTTCTTATACTTACCAAAACTATCATGAAGGCTTTTCTATGTCAGGACATTATAAATCTGCCCCATTCTTTTTTATTTTTTTTGCTATTGAAAATAATGAACAATGCTACTATGGACAGCTTTGTACTTACCCCATTTTGCACTTGTGTAGGTATACCTAGAGATTGTGTAGATATACCTAGGAGAGAAATTGCTGGTTAGAGAGTCTATGTAAATTACCGGGTTACAGGGTATGTATATTTTACACAGTGCTAAATGATCCTACATAGTGATCATACCAATGTGCTCTTACATTAGCAGTGAAATTATCTTAGTCTTTTATTTGGTACTCATTTGTTGTCTGTCTCCCTCCTCTGACCATGAGAAGGATGGCACCTAGTTCATCACTGTCCCCAGAGACTTGCACATGGTAAACTGTAATACATATTTGACGAATTAGGAACCCTCATTGTAGCCTATCCTCCCATTTTTATTCTAAGAATACGGTCAGTTTGCCTATGAGCCCTCAGCACACTATAATGTTTGCTTTGTCTTTCTCCTCCCTGGACTGGGAAGTATTTCTGATTCACCCATTTTTTTCCTAGTGCAATGGCTGACACCCAGTAGGGCTCAATAATCCTGAGTTGAAGGAATGAATCAATGACTTTGCAGGCTGTGACTCACATAAGAAACCAAATGCAAGGTAGGAAGCAGATTAAGCTGAGGGGGCTCTGTGGGGAAGGAAAGGAGGGTCTCTGTGTTGAAAAGTGGGGAGATGGAGAAGCCTGGTAATTGTGTAGGGCTCTTCTGGCAGGCAAAACTCTCAAGAGATGTCCCAGAGAAACAACACCTCATCTCCCACCAAGACAACATGACAGATGTCTCCACCGCCCTCTCCACCTTTAACATAGGATTGTTTTCTCCATCAGGTAGCCATGAGTTTTCAAGGACCTATGAAATGTTTGAGACATGAACAAATTTTCAATGTTAGCTCCAAAATACGATAAGAAAACTACAAAAAAATTAATATTTATTAAAAATGTACGAAATGTAACACTATGTCAACTATTTACAGCAACTCAATTCAACTATATATAGTTACTTATAAATTTCTTTAATGTGGGTGTTGCCACATTTTAACATGTTTGATATAATATAGGATGAAGCTTCCAAAATTGGAATCTTAAAAGTTTTAAAAGAGCTCTATTTCTACCTTGGTGTTCTCTCAAAGGGAGAATTCCTGCTTTGTCCATATTTCATCCTCTTTAATTCTAAATTTCCTCATCTTTAAATGGGGATCCTCATAAAAAGGTTCATCCAAGCATTATAGTAAGGACAAAATAAAATAATGTATTATAAAAGGAATGATCTATCACACAAAATTGTAAATAAACTATACTTCAATTAAAAACTAAAAAATAAAATTTTAAGATTAAAAAAAAAAAATGAAACGATCCATCAGATGCAAAGTAGTATTAGCACTCTATTGTTTTCCATCAGCTCCTGGAGGGCTGAGTGGTTGTTTTGTTCATTTCAGCTTCCCAATCAGTATCAGCTGGGTGCCCAACTCCAGGGGACACTATTCATGTTATATTTAACTGGAAGAAACACCATTCACAGAAAATATAATGTGAATGAAGCACCCCTGAGCGCCATTCACAGAACATACAATATGAATGGTGCCTCCTGGAGTTGTGCCTTGCCACCTTGGTGCTAGGGCTAAGTGCTCAGGAAATGTTTGCCAAACGAGTGAATGAACAGAATCCAAATCCAATTTTACTTCCAGCTCATTCCACCTCCCAAGATAAAAAGTTGACCAGGGGTGAAGAGAGTGGAGAGGAGGAAAGGCAGTCATTAATCTACACACACACTAATTATGCATCTAGCTACAAGGCGTCAATGCGCCAATGAGACGGGTGTGTGTGTTTGTGCTGGTGGTAGTGTGGGGAGGAGGGGTGATATTAAAGCGAGTGTTCTATTCCCAAAGATCCTCCTGTTAATTTTTCTTGAAACAGGACACCTCTCCTATCTCAGCGTGGTCTGAATCACACTGGTGATTTGACAGCCCTGGTTTGGCGCCCAAATTCTTACGATGAATTACGTTGTTCATTTACTTAAAAAAAAACAACAAACACAAAAGCAAAAACAAACAAAAAAACAACGCGTTCTTAGCGAGTGCCTACCCTGAGGTAAATTCTGTACTAGTGCTGGTAGTAGAGTGGTAAACAAGACAAAGAGACCACTGTGTGTTATAGCACCCTCCAGGTGTTATCACCCCCAGAAGTAGTGTTTAAGTTGAGACTAAAAGAATCAGCAGGAGTGATAGCAAGAGTGATACAGACGAGGTAGAGCCACGGGGCTTGAGAGACATGACCCCTTGAGGGGAGTCTGGGGCAGACGAGTGAGGGAGACCAGTAGGCAGGGGCCGGATCGTGCAGGGCTTGTGGAGTTATGATTTTATCTTGAGGCAAGTGGGAGCCAGTATTTTATGAAGAAGGATGACATGGTCAAATTTGAATTTTTGGAAATAGAGCATGGGCTGGAGGGGTATAAGTAGAAGTAGGGGGATGTGTTAAGAGGCTAATGCGGCTGCCTCGGCGACAGACGATGATGTCTTTAACTAGGGTGGCGGTGCCAGTGAAGATGGAGATAAATGGACAGTTCCGGGTACATTAGGGAGTGGAAACCCGACAGGGCTGGGGACAGAAAACTAGCCCTACCTGAAATAAAGAGGCCCTGGAAAAGAAAGAAGACGGATGTTGATAAGATACCACTTTATTTTGTTTCTTAACCCACCTGGTGTCTCCCCTCCCCTAACCCTGACGTCTGTTACATGCAGATAACATTAAGGCGAGGGGCGGGGCAGGCGCCCAAAAAATTCCGGGAACGTTTATTTAAACTGCGTTGGACTTCAGCGGAGAGTAGATGAAAGAACACAAGGCACTTCCGGTTACTCCGGAAGTGAAGACTCCTAAGCTCCTCCGCCGGCGGAGGGCCAGGGTGAAGGGATGGCCGGGCGAACGGTGCGGCTGGTGCTGCTGGTTGGGGCAGCCGCACTAGCAAGCGGCTCCCAGGGCGATCGCGAGCCGGTGTACCGCGACTGCGTGCTGCGGTGCGAGGAGCGGAACTGTTCGGGGGTCGCACTGAAGCACTTCCGCTCCCGCCAGCCAATCTACATGAGTCTAGCAGGTAAGCCCCACCCCGCGATAGGCCCCGCCCATTGGACTTGCCCTGCCCCTTTCGACCCCGAAGACCACTCTGCAATCTGTACCTTAGTTCCTCCCCCGGGTCCATTGAGAGTGTGAGTGGAACCCCAGAGTGATTAGATAGTCTGTCAACCAGGAGCTTCATTTACTTTTTATTTAGTCAGTCAAATGGGCATTTACTACCTCCTGGGTACAAAGACCTGGAAGGACACTGAAATCAGACCAGGGTCCTGACTTCGGGGCTCACAGTCCCCAAGGGGACTTTAGCCTTCTCAAGTGCAAGGGAGAGGATGATTTGAGCCCCAAAGGACTCTTAGACTAAGTAATAGGGAGGAAGGAATCGTTTCTGGCTTTGAGGAGGTGGGGGCAGTGATTACCTTGGAACATTCGAGAGGAAGGGCTTCTGGATGGATGCATTAAATCTAGGCCTGTGGCCATAGTGGGCACTTACTTTGTGGCAGGTGTCAAAATAGTTATTTTTCACAACAACCCTTTGAGGTCAATTCTCTTAACCTGATTTTTGCAGATGGGGAGACTCAGAGAGGTTAAGTGTCCTGCCCAAAATCATACAGCCAGTAAGTGGTAAAGTGGAGTTTTTAGTTCTGGCCTGTTTGACTACACGTTTCTTCTCTTTACTATCCCTTTGCATACCAGACAGAAAGAACAGAGAGTGGAGGCCCTGGACAGATATGGACACATCCAGCAGCTTGGTTTACTCAGCGAGCAGCGTGCATGAAAAGGAGTAGTGGGAAATAAAGTTAGAAAGGGAATATGGGGCCTTAAAAGTCAGACTGAAGAATCTGGGCTTCGTTTTCATAGATGGGGTGTAAAACGGCAAGGGTTTCTCCCTGGTGAGTGAGAGAAAATCCTGTGTTCAGGAAAGGCAAACGTAAACCCAGGTATCCACAGATGAGTCCGTCAGATGCCAAAGTCTCCGTCTTGGGTGAAAGGAAAAGAGAAGAAACATCTCCACTTGCTCACTGTACACTCCTATCCGCTAAAACACACACACACATGCACACACATGCCTTTCCCTTATGTATATTTTACACCATCTCTCATCCATCCAAGCGGGAAGCTAGAATTTTCCGATTTCTTCTGGTTCTCTCCAACCTGCAGGACCTCTTGGCCTGTGTTTGAGTTTGGGCCCCATTCGAGCTCTCTCTGTGCCTCCCTATGCTGGGGAGTTCACCAGGCCATATTTATCTGTTTCAGGCTGGACCTGTCAGGATGACTGTAAGTATGAGTGTATGTGGGTCACCGTTGGCCTCTACCTCCAGGAAGGTCACAAAGTGCCTCAGTTCCATGGCAAGGTGAGTTGGAGGGTCAGGGTTAGGTAGATGATGGGAGTAAGATGCCTCTAGTTGGACCACGCTGTCCAAGCAGGCCAGGGTGTGGGGTGATGAGTGTGTGTTTGGGGCAGGTACCTGTTTTTCTCAAAACATGCTGGTTATCATCAGATGGGAACAATGTGTCCTGCCTCTGGATTTGAGGTAACAGGATCTGGGAGGCTTTGGAGTCTCCCCAGGGAGTGGTCCTGGGCTGTTTAGGGTGGTTGAGATGCCCACCTTGCTACAAAGACAAATTCCCTGAGCATCCCCCTGGCACACTTTCTGTTGCTTCTTCAGTAGGAGTCTGGATTAAAATAATAATACCCCCTCAGATTGCCCAGCGAGACACAGCTTGCTGATGCCTTTTGATCCAATATGATCCTGTTCTAGAGTGTTGAGGTTGGCAAGAATTATTCTCCCCAGTTTGTCACAGAGTAAGCTGAGGCTCAGAGGGCTGTGGTTAGTGGTAGAGGAGGGATTAGGACCTGTGTCTTCTAGATGGCAGGTCTGTGCTATTTCCACCAGGCCATACTGAGCCATCCACACTGCCCGGCCTGGTCTTCCCAGTGCTGTGAGTGCTGGCCAGGACAGAGGGATAACGCTCAGCCAGGGACTGCAGGGGAGCTTGTTGATCTGAAGAGGGACTGCCCCTGAGGCTTTGGCCAAGGTCCAGAGCTGCGGAGCCGGCCGGGGGCCTGGTGATGCAGCAGGTCAAGCAGAGGTAGGTTGGACCAACTGGGCATTGCTTGCTCCTCAGGCCCCTCCGTATGTTCCTTTTTCAGTGGCCCTTCTTCCGGTTCCTGTGCTTCCAAGAACCAGCTTCTGCTGTGGCCTCTTTCCTCAATGGCCTGGCCAGCCTGGTTATGCTCTGTCGCTACCGCACCTCTGTGCCAGCCTCATCCCCTATGTACCCTACCTGCGTGGCCTTCGCTTGGGTAGGTAACCTGGCAGGATTCCTGCTCAACACCCTCACCCAGGAATGAGGAACTCTTAGATCCCCATTATCACCCACCTAGCTTCCCCTCTGTTTCCAGGGTTAAAGTTGCAGCTATGGGATGGTCGAGCCTGGGGAGAACATGGAAGGTACTGAATCAGGCCTTCCCTTTCTAGCAGAGTCCTAGGTCAGGCTGTTTGAGAGAGTGGGAGAGAGGAAAGAAACATTGTTCTTGTCCTGAAGCAGGAAGCTGCTGAAACACCCAGCAGGGCAATTTACAAACACAGAAGGGAGATGGGTGGTAGGGAGCAAGCGGGGACCACAGGTCTTTCCAAGGACCCCTCTGGAAGGTTCAAAGCACTGTCAACCCCAGCTGAGGCCTGGAGGCAGTAGCAGCCATAGCACTCCATCTAGAGTTCAGTCTGGTCTTAGACCATCCCTGGAGAAGCTGAAATATGTTCCATCTGAGTATCCAGAGAGGGCTGTGAGCTTCACAGAATGGCTGGTCAGAAGAGCCAGCATCCAGAGCGTGGAGCTGTGTGAGAAGCAGGGACTGTGGGGCAGGAGCCACAGCAACCTTGGGGGGAGGGTGTGGGAGGAGGAGGTGGCAGTGGATGTCTCTAGACCAGAGCTACCACTGGAAGCCTCAGGGAGACAGCCCACCCTCACTCACCTTCCTGCCATCAAAGCAGCCTCTTGTTCATATATCGAGCGCCTGCTCTGTGCCAGGCACTTTGTTGGGTGCAGGAGATCCACAAGGATATAAAAACAGACGGGTCCCTGCCCTCTGGCACTAATCACATAAGCACATGATTGAATGTAAAAGGACAGCTGTGAACAAGCGCAGTGGAGGATAGATGGGTGCTGCTGTCGGGGTGTGCGATGGGGTCTAGACCAGTACAGGGCAATCCAGGGAAGCCTTCCCTGAGGAAGGGGTATGTGAGGTCAAATCAGAATGATGAGTGAATGTGCACTGGCAGGACAGACTGCAGGTTATACGAGGACCTGAAAGGCCAGGAGACCGACCAGGCAGGAAGCTGGGAGGGGGTGTGAGGCGGGTGGGCAGGTGGGCAGCAGGTGGAGCCTGGGGATGGATGGGGATGGAGAGCCTGGAAGGCACAGTAACACTTTAGATCTCAACGGTCAAAGCCTCATGAAGCAATGAGGGTTGGAGAAAAGGGGCTTCGTGAATAGATCTGCTATTCTGGCTACTGTGTAGAGACCAGGTTGGAGCGGGCAGGAGTGGATGCGGGGCCTAGTTGGTAATTTTAGCATAGGGCACAGTAGCGAGACTAGAGAGGTGGCCTGGGTCTTGGGAAGGAAGGTATTAAAGAGAAGTATGTTTGAGCTATGTTTTGGAGGTGACATTAAAATTTTTAAAGTGTATTTATTTTACAAACAACTACATAGCTGTTACTGTGTGCCAGGCACCGTTCTAAGCGTTTTATAAATGTTAACCTTGTTAATACCATAACAAGTTTATGAGGTAGGTAGTATTATTGTCCCCAGTTTACAGATGAGGAAACCAAGGACTGGAAAGGTTAAGTAATCTGCCCCGGAGCCAGGGTTTGAATCTAGGCATCTGGCTCCAGAGTCTACACTCTTACCTTCTTGGCTGTGTTGATAACCTAAGATGGGAAGAGAGGAATCAAGGATGACCCCTGTGCTTCTTAGGAGACAGTGATAGAAACTGTGGATGCGGTCACCAGGGGGGGAACTTGGTGAGAAGAGAAGGGGTCTAGGATGGAGCCTCGAGGAACCCCAAAACTTAATGGCTGAATAGAGGAGGATGAGCCAGCAACAGAGACAGAAGGAGTGGCCAGAGGGGGAGGTGGAAAATGATCCATCGTGTGGTTGGGGGAGCCCTGGGACAAGGACAGGAAGGAGAGAGTAGGCCATACTCCTGAATTCTGCTTCAGTCAAATAAAATGAGACTGAAGGCCGCCCCTAGATCTGGCGACCCTGAGATCTCTGAGGACCTTGGGGAAACTGATAGTGCTGGGGTGCCGGAAGTCCAGGCCAAACCCCAGACTTGAGGGACGGGGATCGGAAGCAGGGCAGCAAGGAGGCTGCTGAGCCTCTGGGTGATGTAGCTCCTCCCTAACACTTCCCATTCAATAGACGTTAATAATTTTTATCAGTTATGGAACACAGATTACGTGACGGGCATGGTCCTCAGTTCTGTACATACATTTTCTCACTTAATCCTTGTAATACCACTGTGAGCTTTGTGGAAGGCTCAGGGGGGGAAAACCTGCCCCAAGTTAACAGCTAACAGGGTAGTGAATAGTGAAGACAGGCTGGCACCCAGGGCTGTCTGGCTCCAGGGCCTGAGCACCTAGTCCCTCTCTGGGCTCTCTCCACGTGCTGTGCGAAATGCTTATGGAGCATCTGCCGTGGGTGGAGAAAGAGGTTAGCACTTGTGGTAGCTGAAGTCCCCGCCCCAAGGAGCTAAGCCAAGTGGGAGGTCCAGGTCCTGCCAATCTGGGCGGCAGGATGGAGGCAGAGGTGAGGAGGGCTCAGGGAGAGAGCTTTGGGAGCTGTGAGGTGGGGAGATCATATCGTCTGGGGGAGAAGTCTTTCAGGGAAGCCCAGAGAGGAGGAGAGGCTTCATCCGGGATTCGTAGGCCTGGTCAGGCTTAGACGTGTGCACATGGCAGGAGAGGAGGTTAGATTCCAGCCTTCCAGGCTGGGGGCACAGCAGGAGCAAAGGTGCAGAAGCTGGTCAGTGTGGGGCCTGGACAGGCAACCTTGGGAAGGTCAGCCTGACCACAGCGTGGCTGGGTGAAAGGGAGTCGAAGGGGGTTAAGATGAAACAGAGAGGGCCCCAAGTGCCAGGCTGAGAGGCAAGGACTCTTGTGTAGGCAAGGGCCTGGCATCAGCCCAGCCTGTCACAGGCATGGGTGGGATAGAGCCACCACTTCCTGTTTTAGGCCTCACACAGAGAAGGGAATTTGGTCCTGGCCAAGAAAGCAGGAAGGGTGGGGAAACTGAGGACAGTACACCCGTCCCCTTTCCCTTGGGGTTCTTCCAGGGACACTGCTGCCTGGCTCACCACTTTACCGCCCCCTCGCCCCTGCCCCTGTTAGCACAGGACAGCCCCGCCTGATCTCTCCGAACTAAACTCAGAGCCTCCCTGGGTGGACATGCTGGTCTGAGGGTCCCAGCGTTTGTCTTCACGACACGTGCCAGAGGCCAGTGGTCACTTCACAGCTCTTGCCTTGATCTCCCTGTTTCTTGGGTCTTTCATCTCACTGGCATCTGCCACTCAGCTTCCTTCTTGGTGAGGATCATACCTCCCAGGTGTACCCTGCAGTCCAGCGTGACCAAGGACCCTTAGGAACAGATCAGGAGATGTTAGGTTGAGAGGGGACAGATACCTGGGGCCTGTGTCACAGGGCACCTTACGGGATGTGGTGTCCTGGGACATGGGACCCCCTTCACGCCACCAATAGGCCCTTGAGGGACAGAGTCTCAGTGCCCACACTCCCTTTGATGATCCAGTTTGGATTTTACACTTGATCTTTAGTCCTGTGTATGTTTGCAAGCGCGAAGGATCCCAAGCTCTGTGGAGGGTGTGGCAGTGGACTTTGTCCTGGGCTGGGTTTTCTGGAACAAGTGGGGCTCCTGATTTCTGGTGGGGTGGGGTGGGAAGGCCCACGCACCTGCTCCAGCTTAGGTCTCGGGGAGGGGAGTGGGTCTCAGTCTTTTTCTCCGGGAATTAGCAGAGCTAATGAAGCTTTGGCACAAGAAGTCAACCCCTGCCTTGGCATTTAGACCTGGACTTAGGCTGGGCAGCAGCCAGGCTTTGGAGGAGCCTCCAAAACTCTGCCCTCCACAGACCTTTGACTTCATGGAATCAGGGGCCCCTGCTCTCTGCCAAAGCTGCCAGGCCAGACCCGTGCTCTGCCCTTCGTCCAACAAGGAAAGGCCCTCAGGGATAGAGGTGCGGCTGAGGGTGCCGGGAAATCCCAGACTGCCTCTGCAGGATGATTCAGGGAGGTGGGCACTAACTGTACCCTACCTCTGCTGAGGGAACTGTGAGAAGAGACAGGGTAAGCCCACAGCAGAATGGTGGCTAGACTTCAGGAAGGACTTCCCTACGGTCAGACAAGAGCCAATGGAACAGGCAATGGCAAGAAATCAAGGGATTTTTTTTTTTTTTTTGCGTTACGTGGGCCTCTCACTGCTGTGGCCTCTCCCGCCGCGGAGCACAGGCTCCGGACGCGCAGGCTCAGCGGCCATGGCTCACGGGCCCAGCCGCTCTGCAGCATGTGGGATCTTCCCGGACCGGGGCACGAACCCGCGTCCCCTGCATCGGCAGGCGGAGTCCCAACCACTGTGCCACCAGGGAAGCCCAAGGGATCCTTTTTGATGGTGGAAAAAGCCCCCCTTCTCTAGTCTCCATCCACTTCTTGCCCATTCCTTTCTCAGGAGTGAACTGGGGCCGGCTTGCCCTGCCTGAGGCCTCTGGGGGGGCCCAGGATGGCAGCAGGCATCATATTTAACATTCTGCCTCCCCCACTTCTGAGACACCGAGCTATTTAAAGACCCACTTGTCCCCACCTCAGTGGTGTCAATGACAGCCCCGAGCACTGGGGCTTAGTACTGGGGTCGAATTCCTGACAGATCTGGCTCACTTGGCATCCAACCAGTTTCACGGCTGTGATATTTTTGTCTCAATTTTCCTATTTTCCAACAGACTGAAACAGCCTCCTGCTCTCCCTCTGCCCAGCCTTCCTTGTCCCTCACCAGTTCCACCCTCGTTGGCAACCTGCCCCGCCTCCCCCTTTCCTCAGTGTTTACACAAAGCTCTTGGCGTCCATCGCCCTCCTGGCCTGTCTGATTGACCAGTTATCCCCCCGGCCCCCTCATTCTACTCAGGCTTGGCTGAGGAGTCTGGGAGCAGCCGTACACTTGGGCTGTCCCTTCCTTCCACGGCCCTCTGTCCCTTCGCTTGAGTCTTGATGACAAACTCAAGTGAAGAGAAGTAGCATCTTTTCGGTGCATCCTGGTGGGGTAGTGGCTCAGGAGCAGGGAGGAGGGGCCTCTTCCTACAGCTGAGGCATCTGCGTTCTGGAATCAAGAGACCCTGGGGCCCTGTGGTTTGCCCTGGAACATTGTGACCTTTGCGGGGGTTGGGGGGGTGTCAGGTGAAGGGAAGTGGTAAGGGGTCAGTCGCTGGACATGATGAAGGAAACTGACATTTCTGGGTCACCTAGCATGTGCCAGGCCACAGTAACAGCCACCACTTACTGAATGGCTTCTTTGTGCCCTGTATTTTGCAGACATCGTCCTCACAGCCCTCTTACGCAGTGGATGCTATTATGAACCCCGTTTTGTAGGTGAGGCAGCTGAGGCTCAGAGAAGCTGTTATTTGTTCAAGATCACACAGCTCTTTAGGGGCCGAGGCAGAACTTGAACCCAGAGTCCATCTCCTTATGGAGGCTGCAGACATCCTGCCCCCAGCCTGGAACTATGGGATGAGCCTAGGCAGTTGTGGGGAGACCACCCCTTCTTGGCCTAGACCTCCCTGGCCAGCAGGGAGAATGGGAGGCAGACTTGGGCTCTTTGGCCTCAAGTCTGTGAAGTGGTGTGAGGATCCCACACTGGTCAACTAGGTGGGGAGAAGTAACTCCTAATGTTTAACCCTGTTCCTGGGCGCTGTGCTGTACACTGTACTTGTATTGCTCATTAAATCCTTATCAATACTATGATTATTCCCATTTTACAGATGAGAAAACCGAGGCACAGCAAGGCTAAATAACTTGCCCAAGGACACACAGGAAATGCAGAGGCAGGATTTGAACCCTGGCAGTCTGGCCCTAGGGCCTACATTGTTAATGACACTATCTCCCAAATCTGTGGAGAGGGTCAGAAGAGGAGCCCCCCATAATGGGAAACTCCCCAGGGGAGAGGGGACTTTTCAGGGGTGCAGAGTCCAGGCTTCAGGTGGGTCTCTGTAAGTGGAAGGCCCCCTGGGGAGGCAGTTGGACAGGGAACCAAGCTGCCCCCAGCCCCAACCCATAGAGCTAAGCCCTAGCCCTGTGCATCCCCCCCAACCCCCAGCCACCACTTAGTTCAGTCCTCCTGTCACCTCCCCCTTCCTGCCATGGGTGACAAGGAGGCCTGGCTGGCCGCCATTCCCTGCTGCCTTCCCCACCACCTCCCCCTCACGTTGGCTCCAGGGCTACTCTTCCCCAAGGGTGTCCCTGTTCCTCGCCTGCCCAGGAGACCTCTCCAGGGCCCTGTCTCCAGCCCCGGGCCTGCTTCTCTCCCCACGCTGACCCTGAGTACCACAGACTCTGCAGAAGCAGAGTCTGAGAAACGACTCTGCTCTGGAAAACGACCCGTTTTCCAGCCTCCAGACCATGCCTCCATTGCTGTCTCTGGGGAAGGGGTAGCACCAGGGATGGGACAGGATGGCTGTCCTCAAAGGAGGAAGCAGCCTGACCTGGACTCATCACCTGACATCAGGGCTGGAAAGGGGACAAAGGATCACTTTGACCAGCCCCTGATTTGTCCCAGGGGGAAGCTCAGGCCCAGAAGGACAAAGCCTGTGCCCAGGTCATGAGAAGCATAAGCAGCGAGAGTTAGCCCTGGACCCAGGCCGGACAGGCTTACACCGGATCCCCGAGCCTCCAGAGACTTCCAGCTTTGCAGTAGGGCCCAGGCCTCCACCCCATTGCTCTTCCCGTTTCCTCATAAGCCCCCTCGAGCCTGCATTAGGGAACTCATCCTACCCTCTGACCTTCCTGCTGCATACTGGCTGGAGAGTGGCTTTTTACCCTGCTCCCTCTGTCCCCTGCCTGGCCAGTTTTCCTGGTATACTGGACCCCACTGAGCAGCTCCGGGCCTTTACCCATCTCCGGCAGGCCTGTACCACCCTAGTGCATCCGTCCCCACCTCCCGGGCGTTCCAGGCCAGACCTTGGCTGTTTCTCCCTTTGGCTGGTTTCCCAGCCCTCCAGTGTGTGTATCTCCACCCCAGCCCACCCTTCTTTCAGTATGTTGGGCTTCTGCTGTGGACACAGCAGTCCCTGAAAAAAATGTCAGCACCAGCTCCCACAAGAGGCAGGCCTCATTTGCAAGATGATCTGTGCTCTCTCCTCGCAGTTAATTTCCAGGAGAAAGGCCTCCAGCGTTCCCTTGGGCCCTTGCCCACCGCTGCCCCTCCAGCCCTGCTCCTCTACTCCTCCCAGAGCTTGGAGCAGCAGCCACTGGCCTGGGCCTGGAGGGTTGGGCCGGCCCAGCCGGGAGGAGGCTGGGCTCCGTTGGCCAGGCTCCTCCTCAGAGACTTGGCCCCAGCGGGACCTACTTGATCTCCCTCCCTTGCTTGCTTGCTCTGGACACACCCCAAGCTGGCTCGAGCCCCTGCACCCCACCCACTTCATTCCCGCCACCAGAGGCTGAGGTCACTGGCTCACCTGGCCCGGGTGGGGCTGTCATCATCACCTGCCAGTTGGGGGAGGAGGTGAGGTTCCCCGGGGGCTGTTGTCTTAGCCACTGAGTAACCAGGGAACTTGACTCTGCTGGAACTGGTTCCCAGGCCAGGCCGGAACCTGTGGCGGCTGCAGCCCCCGTGGCCTTGGGGGTTCAGGGTGGTGGGAAGCTGAGCCTGATGGCCCCGGGCTGGGTGGGGGTGGAGGGACACGGGTTTGTCCAGTCCATGGGCTCCAGGGCCCAGGGGAAGCATGTTTCTCAGCTCTGTAGATCCCTTTCCCCAAAGTGAGATGGATGTGAGCCCTCTGGGGGGTCTTCCCCACCTTGGGGCACCACACTCACCAGCCACTTCCCTCCTCAGGTCTCCCTCAATGCTTGGTTCTGGTCCACAGTCTTCCACACCAGGGACACCGACGTCACAGAGGTGAGCGCCCTCCCACTCCCGTTTCTGCTGGAGACAGTCCCCAGCGGAGCCAGGAGCGGTGGGGCAGAGCTGAGGAGCCAGGAGCGGTGGGGCAGAGCTGGCTCTTAATTCTCTCTTAGTTCTCGTACTGACTCGGTTTATGGAGCACTTGCTCTGTGCTGGGTGTTTTAAACCTATTCGTGCACTTGAGCCTCACTTGACCCTTGTGAGGCAGGTGTGATTATTGGCTCTTCTTAACCGATGCGGCAGCTGAGCCTTGGACGGGCTGAAATCACTTGTCCAGCATCATGCAGCCAGTGAAGGGGTGCAGTCCAGACTTGAGCCCACAGCTGCTGAACTCCAGACCACACTCATGCTCTTACGTTCTGGAGCCTTGGTGGGCACCCTCTACCGATACCTCTAAAGCCTCACTGCCGAGCACACATTTTTTTTAAAATTGTATGTGAATACAAGGGTCAGTCTATTGAATTCAGGCATGAAACAGCAATAGACAAAAGGAGCACGAGACACGTCCCCACCAGCCGTAGGCCTAGGACTCCCACGTTAGACTCTGGCTGGGCCTCTGCCACCCCTCCCTGCCCCCATCCCTAGTGGGTCCCCTCTGGAGCCTGCCCTCCATGAAGCCTTGTCCACCACCTGTTGCCCACACACTGGTCCTTCATCGAGCTCTCCTTGTCCTCAGAAAATGGACTACTTCTGTGCCTCCACTGTCATCCTACACTCGGTCTATCTGTGCTGTGTCAGGTGAGCCCGCCTTGGCTGCTGTGGGAGCAAAATCAGACCCTGGGGGCAGAAAGGGGTCGCCAGTCTCTCCGCTGGGGGTGCTGTCCCAGGGCTTTCATCTCGCACGTGCATACGCTCCAGACGGTTCTGGATAGGGACTCTGTGGTGGGACCAGGGGCCCTGGCTCTTTCCGAGGAGGTTGGCAAAGGCCCCCAGGAATTGGAGGCTTGCCCTGCTAGCCTGTTTTGATGGGGGTGGGGGCAGTGGCTCCCCTACGCTGCTGCTGCTGCGGGGACGGGTCACCCTGCATCTGAGCAGCTCTGGGTGGCGGGGCAGGACCGTGGGGCTGCAGCGCCCGGCCGTGGCCAGTGCCTTCCGGGCCCTCCTTCTGCTAATGCTGACGGCGCACGTCTCCTACCTGAGCTTCGTCCGCTTCGACTATGGCTACAACCTGGCGGCCAATGTGGCTATCGGTGAGGTGGGACAGGGTCTCTGGGGGGGCTGGACCATCTGCAGAGCTGCTGGCTTGGGGTGGAGGTGGGCATTGGTGCTGTTCCCAGAGAAGGAGCTTCTAGAGAGACCCTTAGGGGGAGGGAAGGGAAAAGAATTGGGGGTGGGAGAGGGGGGAGGTTGGGAGGAGCCCCTGAGGGGGGCCCTGGGGTCACAGAGCATGGGGGCTAGGAGAGACTTTGGGAGGAGAGAAGGAGGTCGGGGAATGAGTCTCTCCCCGCCCCCATCCACACCCAGGCCTGGTGAACGCGGCGTGGTGGCTGACCTGGTGCCTGCGGAATCGGCAGCGGCTGCCCCACGTGCACAAGTGCATCGTGGTGGTCCTGCTGCTGCAGGGGCTGTCCCTGCTCGAGCTGCTAGACTTCCCGCCTCTCTTCTGGGTCCTGGATGCCCACGCCATCTGGCACGTCAGCACCATCCCTGTCCACGTCCTCTTCTTCAGGTGGGTACTCCTCCCTGCCCGTCCTTGCCTGCTTCTTAGAGGCCTCTGTGCACTGGTCACCCACTGCCCGCTCGCCTGCAACACCCCACCCTGCCCCCAGGGGACGCTCTCAGAGCTGTGCCTCAGTGGGCTCCTCCCTTGGCCCACAGCTTTCTGGAAGATGACAGCCTCTACCTACTGAAGGAATCAGAGGCCAAGTTCAAACTGGACTGAAGGCCCTGGAAGCGGGTCTGCCCTCTTGGGGACTCTGTCCCTCCCTGCTGGCTCCCCTTCTTCCCCCCGTCCCCGCCCCAATCCTTGAGATGCCTTTTTTTCCTTTTAGCATCTTGTACTTGGACATGGAGGGTGTGGGACCAGAATCATGTAACCTGCCCACCCCCTTGCTCACCCCCACATGGCCCTCACAGTTTTTGGCGTCAGTTCAGACCTGGCCTCATAACATCTGGGGCTGGAAAATGGGCAACCCCTCTGGTCCCTGGAGCTGAACAGGGCTGTTCTTAGCTCCACCGAGAGGAGGGCTGCCTCTCCCTCCCCATCATCTTCCTCCTCCCATCCCCTCACTGCCTGGGTGGTTCCCAGAGCCATCTGTCTAGCTGGGAGACCAGGTACCACAGGCCTTTGGGGATACAGTGGGGTCCCCTTCTGTTACCCCCATGCCCTCCTCCGGGGCACCACTAGGTGGCACTAGATGCTTGCTCTTTGCCCAAGTTTCAAGGCAGGTCTCATTCTCCCCATGGGATCTAGAGGGACCAAGCTGTTGGGATTGGGGAGCAGCCTCACCCAGACTATTGTCCCAGTCAGACCCCCAGGAGGCCTCACCACACTCCCTCTTCGGGGCCAGGACCCCAGAGAACCCAGGACAGGAATCCCTCTGGCCCCTGTGCTGCTCTTCCGGTTGGGAGCCCGCATGTGAGTGCGTAAGGGAGACCAAGTGTGTAGGTGATGGGCTGGTGGGCACGGGCCTGGGGTGTCTGGGATGCTGGGTGGGGCAGTGTGTGTGAGCATTGGCCTTGTGCAGTGTGGAAAGCGGGGGTGTATGTGAGTGGTTTTGAAGTGTGGTGTTGGGGGGCAGGCGGGTTAGTGTGGGTTAGGGGAACGTGTAGAGACTGAGTGGAGGTGCAGGGCAGTGTGAATGCCACACAGTGGGCGGGGGGGAATCAAATCATGTCCACAGCCATTTACTGAGCACCAACCCTATACACAGCCCCAGGCCAGGCAGAAAGCCAGGATGTCCCCAAGATCTGGCAGGGGTAAGGGTGTCCAGGCTGCATGTGTGTATATGTGTTCCTTTCTTTTGCCGCCCTCTTTACGAACCTCATTGGGCTTCTGCACAACCCAAGATCTCCCCCAGAATCAGCCCCTTGGGAGGCAGAGGGAGGAAGAAAACTGGGGATCCTCCTTGCCTAGACATGGTTGGCCAGCCCCTACCCCAGTGTCCTGCCTGCTAAGCCCCTTTGCCACTGCCTGACCCAGGGGAGGGAGGGGGCAATCTGAGGCAGGAGGGGAGAAGGCTTTGGCTGGGTCTGGTTTCTGGTCTTCCCAGAGGCAGGCAGGGGCCGTGCTGTACCTACACCCTGGTAAAGGTGACCCCTGCCAGTTGCCAGCAGCCATAGCACATTCCTGCTCCACAAGGACAGAATATGGAGCTGCAGAAACTTTCCATCCAAAGGCAGTGTCTGTGACTGGAGCAAGGAGTCGGGATTCTCTGCCCTCTTGCCTCTCCCTGGGGGTAAGGGCGCTGAGCTAGGACTCCAACCTCAGGGACTTGGGTGACCTATAACTTCTTTTGATACTAAGAACTATTTTAAGGTAGGAGGGTGGCAAGGGACATTCTTAATAAACCAATTCTCAGACTCACCTACCCTTTTCCAGCTCATTTGTGTGAGTAGGATGGGCTGGAGGGAAGAAGACAGAGCTGGCTGGAGGCAACAGGCAGATGGCGTCTCTACCTAGGCCCATGGGAGTGGGGATGGCAAGGACCAGATTCAGGGCAACAGCAGATCTGGATGGAGCTCCCATCCCGCTCGTAGTGGGGGCTGGGAGAGGGAGCTGGTGCCTGTTCTTCCCCTCTGACTTCCCTTGGCCTTTGTGCCTGGGTTGTAGCACCACCGCCTCCAAGTTCTCCTAATTATCCCCCTTCACCTCCCCTTCTGGGCTCTGCTAAGCTCCTCTATTATTTATTTGTTCCTAACCTTTCTGAGCTTCACCTGCAAACAGGACAACAGGACCTGCTGCCGAGGGTGAGGACTGAATGGGCCTGGCAGGCGCCTGGCACACAGCACATGCTGACCCTGGCTTTCCTTAGTTTGGGAAGAATGAGTGTACGGAAACTTTCCTTCATGGAAGCTTCTGGGAAAAAGGCCAGGGTTGATGCCTCCCATATGCCCACAACACAAGAGAGAGCTCTGGGCCCTTGTTGCTTCCCAGGAGAGCCGCAGACTGCACTTAACACCAACCAGCATGGACTTATTTCTTTATTAGGTGCCACCTCAGATAACAGGGAATCTAGGTGGGTGAGGGCCGCCGACACTGTGTGCACTGGGGCCTCACACCCCCACCTTCTTCTGGGCCCAGGCGAAGAAGATGCCCTTGACATCATCTACGCCTGTCCGAAGGTGGGAAGGCATGATGTAGGTGCGCAGATCCCTCACCTCATAGCCGCTACGCACCAGGGCCTCCCTCACCTCCTCCTCACGCACTGGCACCACTGCCAGCCTGGCCTCCCCAGCCAGGTACCATGACTCCTCCAGGGCCCCGATGAGGAGGAGGTGCCCCCCAGGCCTCAGCAGTGTAGTGATGTGGTCCAGGGCCCGCTGGAAGCTGGCAAGGTCCGGACTCACAGCCTCTAGGCAGAAGGCGGAGACCAGGGCATCGGCAGGCAGGGGCGCCAGGCTCCCAGCGCCCAGGGGCTGGGGCTGGTGCACGTCGATGGGCAGGATCCGCTTCACCCTGGCTCGCAGCTGGCACTCCTTCTCTTGGCAGGATTCACTGTTTGACTCAGAAGGCAGAGTCAGGACCAGGGCTCTGGACTGCCCACACCCAGTTCTCTGTTGCCTCCCACCAGCCACTCTGTGGGAAACCCCCTGCCCAACCCGTACCCCCCAGCCCTTACCCCTTGCCCTCGATGAGACAGACATGCTGGCTGTACACGCTCCAGTCGAAGGCCCCAGGCTCGCCTCGCAGCCAGAGCCCCAGCTCCTGGCGGTTCACCTCCAAGAAATCTGTCATCGTGATGTCCTCAAAGTGGGCGCAGGCGCTGAGCAGCTGGTAGATAGTGGGGCCTGAACCAATGTCAATGAGGGTGCGTCCAGACACCTCACCTGGGTGGGGCAGAGGAAGCAGGTCCTGGTGCTAGGCCTGTGCCTGCAGCCCCTAGCCTCAGTCACGGCCTCCCTTACCTGGGGCTTCTTCCCCCTCTTTCTGTTCCTTCTCCCCCTGGAAGTGTGTCTCTGTCTAGAAGAAGCATTAGCTCTGGAGTTAGACTAACCAGGGTCTGAGTCTGGCTCTAACGTCCGCTGACTTTTACCTTGGGAAATGAACCTAACCTCTCTGTGACTCAGGTTCCGCAACTATAAACTCTAGTCACCTACCAGTGAGGATTAAGTGGGGGAACTCTCAGGTGCCTGGCAGCTTCTCTCCTCCGCCTTTGCCCCTCATTCTGCATTCCCCACCTCACTTCTCAATTCTGAGTGTTCTCCCTCCCGACCCCCCCGCCTCACGTGAAGGATGCTTGCTCCTCTTCTGTTTTCACCCCTTAACTACCTATCCCCATCTGGCTGTCGCGTGCGCGCCCCTTTGGCTCCCTGATGACTCCTTGTCCTGTTTCCCAGCGCTCACCGGTGGCGAAGGTCTGCGCCAAGCAGCGCAGCTTCCAAGGCCCGACGCCGTCGGGGCCGCTCAGGTCCCCCCGAGGGGGCGCGTAGTTGTTGCGGAGGTAGGCACGGGGCTCGAAGCGCTGGTAGGCCGAGGCGACTGCCGCCAGGCCCGGGTCTGAGTCGGGGGCCGCGCCCGCAGCGTGACTCAGGTCTGTCCCGCTCATGCTGCTGCCGCGGCCGCCCTTGTCCCCCGCTCGCCTTTATCTGCGGCCGGACCGCCGCCCCGACCTCTCCGCTGCGGGGGCGGCGGCTGAGCGGTGAGCCGCCCGGGGCCGCGCGCGCTGCGTTTCCCCTACCCCATCCATCTCCTTTAGTGTCGGAGCAGCAGACACACGGGAGGAGCATCCGTCCCCGCCCCTGCTCCACGGTTGCTCCCGTCTGCCCTCCACCCTTTGCCTCACCTGCCCTGGTCCAAGGCCAGCTCCCGCGCCCTGCCCCTCAGCTTCGTGCCCCCAGACTCCTTAGACCCCTGCGTCCGCCAGCCCCAGCTCCTCCCTGTAGCTCTTCTCCATTCACCCCTTTTGCCTGGCATCCCTTCCCTTCTTTTTTGCCAGGGTTCAAGCTAGCCCTTTCCCCCATTCCCAGCTCCCAGCGCCAGGGACATCTCTGGGACACCCTGTCCAACATCCACCCCCCCCTTCCTTAGTGAGGTCACCCCAACTCCCTTTCTCCGCCTCTCCCCTAGGCCTCTTTCGTCCCTGTCCTCCAGCGTTCCCCCCGCCCCCCGCCCCGACTCCAGAAAGGACAGTCCGTTCTGGCCTCCGCCACGGTCGCCCCGGGGCCCCAGAGCGGAGCTCCAGCCCCGCCCGTCAGATGGCAGCGACGATAGGGCAGGCGAGCAGGGATAAAGCACTTAGCGGACGGAACAGCCCGGGCCTCCCCTGCGGGCCCTGCAGGCTCCCAGCCGCGTATCTGGGGGCTGCCGAGGGCGGAAGGCTCGGGACATTCCCGTCACGTCCGGGGCGAGGGACCCAGGTGAGGACGGAAGGGCGCGGGGCGCGTTCTCCAGGCTGCCAGGGGTACCAGGGGACGCGATCCGAGCCTTCGGGTGCCAAGGGATTAGGTGTGTCGCCTGGTCTGGAGTCTGACCCCTCTCATCTCCCAGCCCACACTCCAGCCCCCTCTGCGGGAGCAGGGCCAGGCCAGCCCTGCAGATTGCTTGGCACTCCAGGTACCAGGCTGTCAAGATGCCAGGGTCCCCCTTCTTATCCTCCCAAATGGGAAGTGGATTCTGCGGGGCCATCTCCGTGGTCTTCCTAGAGTGGGACCCTCCTCTGGCTAAGTCTAGTGCCTCTCGGCCCTGGGTAGGCTACCAGCCCCTGGCCTCCTGTACCACACCCTTACCCTCATCTTTTCCCAAAGGGAAAGTGTCTTCTTGTTGGACCAGGCAGCCAGGTTGGGACATGAGTCACCACAACAGCTGCAGGGGTCACACACAGGAACCTGACCACCCCCCTACACACCCTACCCCCAAGAACCCACCTTGGGCTCCCAGGGCAGGGAGGGTAGAACACCTGACCCCAGCCAAGGATTGATTCTGTCTGGATTCAGAACCAAGAGAGAGGTCAGCCTTGGGGTCACTGACCCCATCCACACCCTGAGGCACAGCTGAGGACAGTCCCGGTGCCAGCCCCTTCCATATTCTTCATGAGGTCATTTAAACAAACCCTGGATGCCAACTGGCCTCCTGGGCACTGCCCAGTGCCAGGGGACTCACACAGAGGCCAGGACTGCAGAGCAGAGTCAGGGGGACTGGACGGACAGCCACCCTGTTTATAGCTCTGTCCCTGCAACCCCCCCCCCGCCCGGGAGCATGGGGTGACCCACTAACTCTGCCATATTTAGCTCAGATGCAGGGCCTGTTCCCAGAAGTGAGCATGGGGGGGGACAACAACGGGTGGGCCCCTCAACCACCAGGAAAGAGACGAAACTCTGGCATGTGACTGAGCATTTATTGCAGCGCTAACAGAGGGTGCTGGGGGCTCCACCCTGCCTCGGCCCTCTTCACGTCCCCCTCCCTCCGGTCTTCTCCAGGCCTCCTTCCCTGAGCATTCCTTATGCTTTTTCTTCATCCTTCTCTGAAGCTGAAATCTAGACTGGGGTCACTCCTCTCAGGGACCTCTTACCCTCACCAGCATTTTCTGCCTTTCCTCCTGGGGGTACTCGGCTGTGCTGGCCCCCAGCACTCCACCCTTAGTGCCCACCGTCTTTGCTCCCTCCCTGTGGGAACTCAGGAGACCCAGGCATCCTGGCCTCTGGCTCCCACCTCCCCTAGCCCCCAATTCTGGGCAAACTACAAAGCTTCCATGGCCAGCAGCTCCCCTCCGTGGTCCTAGCCAGGAAGGGCCCAGCCCAGGGCAGGCACTGTGGAGCCCAAGTCACCGTCCCTCTCAGCCTCTCTGTGCTTCCTGGGACGTGGAGCGAGACAGGGTGCGACACAGGGCGCCGGGCTTGCTGACAGGCACCACAGGGGGCAGCTGCTTGGTGATCTCGGCCACGTCCTGGCGGTCCACACACTGGCCACCCAGGGCTGCTTCCAGTGCCAGCAGCTCCTGCAGCTGGATGGGGGTGTCCTCGTGCTCCTCCTTGGTGGCGCCCACCTTGGCAGGGGTGAAGATGGGCAGCGGCAGCATCCGCTGGTAGGGCAGCTGGTACTCCTGCAGCCCGCGGCCCAGGATGCCCATCCGCATCACCAGCCAGGGGGAACGCTGCATCAACGCCTGGCACCGCCCCTGCCGGTGGTAGGTCTCCCGCCGCTGGGCATCCTCCTCATGCAGGGAGCAACTGGGAAGGAGAGGGGAAGGGGGCACTGAACTCCTGAGAGCTGTTGCCCTCCAGTCACACGCTGAGGACCTGGGGTGCCAGGACCTGGGGTGCTGGAGGGGTGACTCCACTTTGCTCCCCCCAGCGGGAACTCTCCTGGCCCCCACCCCCCGAAACTTCTCCTGGCCTTTGCGCTCTGGCTTCATAAGGCTCAGGAAGGGTGCTCTAGGGGAGGGGAGGAGGGACCCCCAGCTGGCCAGCACTCACCCCTCCTCAGGCCGTGTGGACAGCGTCAGATCCTTCCACTCAGCCCAGAAGGCCTCTCGGCGCTCACAGTTCTGCTCGGACACCTGGCAGCTCAGCTCTAAAGTGGCCATGATGACCGCTCACTCCCTCTGGGCTCTGTTCCTCCCATGCCCTTTAAATAGCCCCATCCTCCCCCTCCTCCAGGGGCTATTTTCAGGCCCTCTGGCGTCAGATGCTACAAGCAGAGCCAAGACTCACTGCTGGGGGATTCTGGGCCCAGGGCGGGGCTTGGGGTTCCTGGACTCTGGCTGCCCCCAGGTCAGAGGTCAGCTTCTGAAGAACTCAAGGTGCTCCTGTGGGGGCAGGGGTCCTCAGCGTGACACCTCCAGGTGTCTGACACTCCTCAGACACCGTCTGGGACCAGGCACGTGCCCAGCCTCGTGCCACCTTGGCACTTGCCCTCTGCCCCACCCCTTCCCCTAACCCAGGGAGGACAGCGGCTTGTCTGTAAACAGAGCAGGAAACAGCAGGAACCGAGGCCCCCTCTGGGCTCTGTACCAGGCCATCGTGTCCTTCCCCACTGCCTGGGCTCAAGGGCACATCCCCTGACTATCCCCTCAGCAAGAAGGGACAGTGCCGCCACGTCCTCGGGCATTCGCCCCTGAAGGCCTGGCTCCCGACCACCACCTCACCAGCAGGGGCAACGGAAGTTAATTCCACACGTGGGATCCTGGACGCCAACCTTTGGCAGGTGTCTTCCTTTCCCGTCGGGCCAGTAGGGTGGGGGGAGCAGATGTGGGAGGTGGCCCCAGCTCTACCCCAACACCTCAGGTGGGGTGAGGTGGGAATCCAGGGGCTCCAGGGAGTGGCAGCCAGATCTGGCTCTAGCCCCAAAGCAGCCATAAATAGGCTATGTGACTATGGGTCAGCTTCTACCCCTCTCTGGGCCTCATTTTGCCCCCTTTCTGTTCACAGTGGCCGTACCAGAAGACTTCTGGGTCCTGCCAGCTCCAGGGTGCCACTGGGCAGGACCTGGCTCTCATCCCCAGGGAGAAGGCCAGTAGGAGGGCTGCCAGGACAGCCCAGCACTGAGAGCAGTGGCACGTGCTGCTGGAAGCTGGCACACAGGGTGGAGGGCATGGGGGAGGAGGAGTGAGGGCGTCACTGAGTGGACAAAGCAAAGGGCGCCAAGAGAGGCAGGGACAGGAGCTGAGATGAGAGCTTAGTGGTAAGGCCTGTGGGCACCCACCTGGGGCAGAACTGCATCCTCTTGATTACTGAGCACTACACCTGATTCTTGGTATCTTCTAACCTTACAAAAGCTTTTATAAAGTAGGAAATGGAGGCTCAGAGAGGTAGATTTGCCCAGGGTCGCACACCTAGCCAGGACCAAGAGGAGACCCCGCCCCCACCCCTGGCTCTAAGTAAGTCAGCTCCTCCGGAAGCCTGAAGGCAGGGAGGGCGTAGGGCAGGTTTTCTGGCGGCCCCAGTGTGATGGGGCAGAGACGGGAGGTTAAGTGGAGCCCAGAGGCCCGGATCCCGGAGGTGCATCAGTGACCTGGAAGGCCAGGCCCCACGTCCAGGCTCCCCCCCGGAACCCCAGCCTTGGGACCCCAGTGGCAACCAAGGCCTGCTGTGGGTACTGCCAGGTCTCTCCCTACCTCTCTCCTCCCAATCCTGGGCTGGAGACCTTAACCTGACCTTCCCTCACCGGAGACCCAGAGACCCTGCAGGGAGGTGGGGAAGTTTTCTCTGACCAGTCATCTGCCCAGCTGAACCATTCAAGAAAGTTGGGGGTGGTTCCAGGAACTGGGTCTCCACTGGCTCCGTCCTGGCTCTGCGAGGCTCTGCGAGGGTGTGTCATGTGGTGGCTGCAGCAGTGGCTCCTTCCCCGCCTCCGCGGTGCTGCCCTTCTCTTCCCTCAAGAGGCCAGGCTGGAAGGACTGCTTATTTTTTTTTTTTTTTTTGAGTTCATGTTTTTAATTGGCTCAAATTACAAAGGTCCCCAACGAGGCCCTGGGCGGGAGGGAGGCAACCTGAAGAGAACCTGGGAGAGGCAGGCTCCCTGCCAGCACCCACCACTCCCACCTACAACCTACACCCCCACAAGTGCAAGTGGAAAAAGGTCCCAGACCCTTTAAGTAATCCTAAAACACCGTGATGAGAGAGCAGGCGGAAGAAGGGGGTCCTGCGCCTTCACACTGGTGACAAGGCTGCCCTGACTTCTGTCCTGCCCAGGGTCCTCCCCAACCAAGTCCGAGGTTCCCATTCCAGACCCCGGCCTGGCCAGGTGGGGACAGCAGATCTCCTCTTCCAGGAGGAGACGTTTACAGGGACGCCATGTAAACGTCGGCAGGATGGACCCCACTGGCCTCAGCGGCAGAGTCAGACGCTTGAGCTCTCAACCTGCCCACGGCCAGGGCTTCCAGGCACAGTGAAGCGCGTGGAGGGTGGCAGCTGGGGGCCGAGGGGCTGCTGTGGGAGGAAGCCCCTTCCTCCCCACTGTTTGAGGCCAGGTCCTCTGTGGGCAGCGGGAAGCCCAACCGGCCCCTCCTCTGGCTCTGGAGGCCGTGGCGACAGGACCCTGGCCCGCAGGGTGGTGAGGGGGCATGCTCATGCCCGTGCACCCAGCTCTCCGATGCGCTGCCGCAGATGAAAGGCAAATTCAAACATGGTGGCTGCAAGGCTCTGGTGGATGAGGTACCGGGGCAGGCGGCCCTGGGGGAGGCGAGAAGTTCCAGGAAGGCTTGCCCTGGGCAGGGGCTCCCCCTCAACAACTGGCACCAGCAGGGGCTGCTCTGGGCCAGAACACAGGTGCAGCTCTGGAATGCAGCCTAGGCCGCCCTCCCCCCTCCCCCCTCCCCCTGGCAGGAAGAACATGCCATGCCCGGGCCTGGCGTGAGTCACACAGAAAGACCTGGGAGGGGCTGGGCTGGCAGCCAGCCACCCTTCCTGGGGGCCTCGGGAGTCAGAGGTAAAAAGGGGAGGCACAAGCCCGCCGGCAACTCAAGGTGAGAAGACCACCTGGACCCTGCCCCCAGTATTAGAGTAAGAAAGGAGGCGGAGAGTAGGGGAGGCTCTGAGCAGAGCAGGGAGTGCCCAAGGTCACACAGCAGAGGCCCCTCCACTCCACAGAACCTGCCTCGCAGCCCCGGCACGCCCACCTTCAGATCTGCATTAAGGATCCAGATGAAGGTGCAGACTCCAGGGTTACTGGCTGACTTGAGCACAATGAAGCCCCCAGGACCATTCTCCCCCCTGAGGAGAGAGGTACCAGTGGGGGACCTTGGAGCCAGGCAGAACCCCTGACTCCACCCCCCCACCACCCCATTCTTGGCCCACCCTGGACTGGGGTGGGAGAGGCAAGGGAGCTGCTGGTCCAGGAACCCCCTCGCTGCCTGAGCAGGGCCCAGGACGGGTGTCCCAGAGGCCACAGCATACAGCCCTCCACCCCCACCTGCCATGTGACGCTCGAATCCTCCTACAACCGCCTGCCGATGTTTGCATACCCCCAGTGGCAGGGAAGCCCCAGCTCACCACCTTCCCAGCCCTCATCTAGTCGGTCCAGGGATTCTAGGTCCGCTCTAGTCCTGAGGAGGTGGGCTGGGCGGGCACTTATCATCAGGGCCCAGCTCTGGGAGTGGTGCAGTGCCACTGGGCTCCAGGAGGGGGCGCCTTCTCAGGCGGCGTCAGGCCTGAGCTGTATGGTGCACATCCCATCTCCATTTAATTCGCCTACAGCTCCCCTGACTCCATATAAGGAAGCTGGCACCCAGAGGGGAAATGAGCTTGCCCATCACCCAGCAAGTCTGCGGTGGTGGCGAGACCAGAGCCCCAAGCTGACACTCAAAGAACAGTGCTCTCTGAGGAACCCCAGGACAGAAGGGGAAGAGTGGGGTATCTGGGAGGAGGTCACCTGCAGGGCTAGGATTAGACAGCAGGAGAACTGGAGGAGGCCCTGGAACAGGCCGCAGAGAGTAAGGCCTCTCCTTTGGAGGTACTTCCAAGCGCTGCGGGAGGAAGGCAAGGCCGCGGGGCAGGCAGAGGGGATGAAAGGGGCCCGAGTCTCCTCAGGCAGGAAGTTGATGGTTCAGAACACAGAGCCTCCTGCTCAGGTCCCCCAGACCAGTGCAACCTCATGGCTCCCAGCCCCCTTCCCCGGGCTGGTCCCTATTCATCCCCATTCACGGTCTATCCTGGAGCTGCCCTCCAGCCTGGTGGTGGGTTCAGCCTCCAGCAGATAAGCAGGATTAGGGGCAGCAGGACTGGGGACAGGAAGGCAGCCTCGGCAGGAGAAAGTGCCCAAACGTACACACCGACCCTGCCCTGTCCCCACAGCTACCAGGGGAGGGGCCGGCGCACACGACCCCAGGCAAGGCTCAGCTCACCTGACATATTTGTGTGTCGGGGGCTTGGCGCAGTGGGTGGTGGCGATGCCCGATGACAGGTATCGGTCTCTGCGCCGCTCGATGCGTCGGACGTTCACGAAGTCCCTGGAGGGGGTAGGGTTAGGTCAGGGGATGCCGAGAAGGTCCAAGGACAGGCGGCCTGGCTGAGAGGAGGGAGCTTGGGGGCCACTCACCTGGGGGAGACCACACCGCCCGCGGCCCCCGAAGACACATCGTAGGAGATGAGGGTGTTGTCTTCTACTCGCTGCAGGATCTGCGGGCGTCAGGGCAGACATGAGGTGTATCCACCCCAGGAAAACCCCAGGGAAGGGTCCCAGCATCTCAGGAAAGCCCCAGGCCAGCCTGCTCTCCGCTCAGGTCCCTTAATTAAGAGTCATTCCCATTCATGGGCACTGGCTGGGCCAGGCGCTTTGAGCATTTCCTCTTTCCATCTTCCCCACCCTCTCCAGGAGGCACTAGTACCACCATCCCCATTTTACAGATGGGGAAGCTGAGGCACAGGGCAGTCCAATGACATGACCTGGGTCCCCTGGGGGTCACTGGTCATGCTGGGGTACAACTGCGCCCTCATCTGCCATGTCGCTCTGCCTCTGCCCTGAGGGGTGACCAGGCCTGGCCCCCTGGCTCGGCTCACCTGGCAGGCTGTCACCGTCTTGTTCCACAGCACCATCCTCTCGGGCTGCAGGATCACCTCCTGGTACACCAGCTCCGCGGGGCAGGGCAGGAAGGTCTGGAGCAGGGCGGGCAGAGGGCTGGGTGGTGCCAGATGTACTCGGGCACACCAGCCCTTCCCTCCTGGTTGGGAGAAACCTGCCGGAGGGTCCCCCTACCCCCGGGCTCTTTCCTCGAGTCCCAGGCAGAGCAGGAGGCTCCAGAACACCTCTTCCCTCACTCACCTTCAGGATGAAGGTCTTGCCATGAAAGGGAACCTCGATGGTGTACACAGTGTCCCCATATTCCTGTGGCAGGGACAGAAGGGTGGCAGGGAGGTGAGCATAGGGCAGAGGGGAGCCGGGGGGGCAGGAATGGGTGACACGCAGGGCAGGTTTTTAACAGCTCAGGGTAGAAAACTCCAGGAGTTTTGGGATATCTGAGGAGCCAGTAAAGAACAGTGGTTCTGGGACCTCCCTGGTGGCACAGTGATTAAGAATCCACCTGCCAATGCAGGGGACACAGGTTTGATCCCTGGTCCGGGAAGATCCCACATGCTGCAGAGCCACTAAGCCTGCGAGCCACAACTACTGAGCCCACACGTCACAACTACTGAAGCCCACATGCCCACACGCCTAGGGCCCATGCTCCACAACAAGAGAAGCCACCGCAATGAGAAGCCCATGCACTGCAACGAAGAGTAGCCCCCGCTCGCCGCAACTAGAGAGCCTGCGCAAAGCTATCTATAAAGACCCAACGCAGCCAAAAAATAAAAAAGTGGTTCTGCCTCCTTGCCTCCTTCACTGTTGGTGGGAATGTAAGTTGGTGCAGCCACTATGGAAAACAGTATGGAGATTCCTCAGAAAACTAAAATTAGAATTACCATATGATCCAGCAATCCCACTCCTGGGAATATACCTGGACAAAACTATAATTCAAAAAGAATTCAGAAAGTCCCTATGTTCATAGCAGCACTATTTACAATAGCCAGGACATGGAAACAACCTAAATGTCCATCAACAGATGAATGGATAAAGAAGATGTGGTGCATATATACAATGGAATACTACTCGGCCATAAAAAAGAACGAAATAATGCCATTTGCAGCGACATGGATGCAACTAGAGATTATCATATAAGCGAAGTAAGTCAGAAAGAGAAAGACAAATACCATGTGATATCGCTTATATGTGGAATCTAAAATATGGCACAGATAAACCTATCTACAAAACAGAAACAGACTCACAGACATAGAGAACAGACTTGTGGTTGCCAAGGGGGGTAGGGGGAGGGAGAGGGATGGACGGGGAGTTTGGGGTTGGTAGATGCAAACTATTACATTTAGAATGGATAAACACCAAGGTCCTACTGTATAGCACAGGGAGCTATCTCTAATATCCTGAGATAAACCATAATGGAAAAGAATATAAAAAAAGAATGTGCATGTGTGTATAACTGAGTCACCCTGCTGTACAGCAGAGATTAACACAACATTGTAAATCAACTACACTTCAATAAAAAAAAAAAAACAGTGGTTCCGACAAATGTTCTGCAATGAGGAGAGAAAGGCTTGTGATATCAAGTTTAAAGGCAGGAGCACAGCTGCGGCTGCAACCACGAAGGACCGTGTCTCCAGGCCGACAAGGGCTGCCAGAGGAACTGGCCAGAGAAAGGGATGACGATGTTTTCCCTCTGTTTTCCAAGCTCTCTGCCATCTTTTTAGATAATACTGTTTTGACCCTGAAACAAAATACCAGACACAGGGCCGAAGCCTGGCTTCCCCTTCAAAGCTGGAGCCGAGGGAGCAGAGCAGCGGGGGGGGGGGAGGGGGGGTGGAAGCAGGGAGAGGGGCGGTGGGAATGTCCAATGCAGCCCAACCAAGTGGCTGACCCCAGGGCTCAGCTCCCTCTCCTGGGGTTAGGAATATGGTTCCAGCCCATGCAATCTTTGGGCTTATTTCTCAGGCCTCAGAAAAGGGAAGGAAAACTCCCCATAGGAAAACCCTCAGGATCAGGTGGGAGACAGGTTTCTTACATTATTCTTCTCAAACTTCCAGTTCTCCTCCTGGGCCAAGATCTGGTCCACCACCGCCATAGCCTCCTTCCCCTGGAGGATGTACTCCCGTTCCTGGCCAGGGATGGGAGTCAGGAAGGGGTCAGCCTGGGGTCTGCACCCCACCTGCTCTTTCTGCACTGGGCTGGGTGGGAAGCCTGACTCAGCCAGATGTCCAGATGCCGGGTCTGGGCTGGTCTCCTGGGCCCTGTAGGCTTCCTGGGACCAGGTGCCGTGGCTGCGGCTGCTACCCTCGGGCCCCAGGCAGGAAGCAGACCGGTGGGCCTGACCGGCAGTGGGGCACACACCCAGATGGACACGGACTGGCATTCAGGCTGCCTAAGGTCTGCCCTCCGCTGGGAAGCCCCTGCCCACCTGGCTGAGCGCATCACTGGCCCCTCCTCCAGGGTGCCCACCCGGGGCGGGGTAGGCAGCCAGATACCTGGGCAGAGAAGCCTTTCTTCCCAACAACTTCTTCATCTGATTCATTGTCAGACCCTGCAGAAAACAAGCAGAGGACAATGGGAAGAGGCGGAGAGAGCGGGGCAGCGGGGGTCGGGGAGGGGGTGGTCGGGGTACAAGGGCAATGGTGTAGGGGTATGAAAGCGGGTGTGGCAGAGGGCTGCTCGCTTTCCCCGGGGAGCTGACACGAACAGAAAGAACAGACCCAGCCAAGGCCCCTCCCCGAAGGCAGTTCTCCCACCCACCAGCCCGCACCTGCAAAGGATTCTGGGGGTGAATAGAACTGGCCCTCGGACAGGGCGCCGGAGAAGAGCAAGGGTCCTCGGGCGACAGCAGCCTGGGCAGCGAGATACCCTGGGGGAGCAGACGTGGGCAGCCATCGCCCCAGACCAAGGACAGTCAGCCTGGGGTCCCCTAGCCCAGGCTCACCCTAAGGCTCCTAGAGGCAGAGCTGGCAAGAGAGCTCAGAACTGGCTCTCAGGCCCGAAACTCTCCTCTCCTGGGTGGGGCCGACCCTCACTGCACCCCCTCACCCCCCAGCACTCACATCGCTCCTCCTCAGCCTCCTGGGGTAGGACTCTGAAGTCAAGGAACCAGGTCTCCAACCAGGCGAGGACGAAGGAGACGATAGGGAGCAAGTAGCCGAAGGCCCCTTTGCTGAGCAGCTGTGGAGGGAGGGGGCTGGGCTCCACGGCAGGGAGTCACCTCAAACCCAGAGCCCCACACTGGGGCTACCAACTCTGGCCTACACCCCACTCCTGGTACCAGCTGTGGGGACCCTCTGTGGCACACGCCTTTGAGATGGATGGATTAATGGGTTCTGCAGCAGGATAAACTCAGGTTAGGCTAGAGGAGGAACTTTCCGTCCTTGGGGTTGCAGCAGGGCGAGTGCGGAAAGCCAGTGGAGATGACCCCTTAGAAATCTCAAAGGACAGGATTCCCCCTCACCCCAACCCCGACAACAGGGTCAGACACCCAAAATCAGAGGAGCGGCCCCTTCTTGGGAGAAGCCCACCCCTCAGGCCAGATGCCCACCAGACCAGCCAGACCCTGAGCCACTGACCTCAGAGAGGATGACCTTGACAATGAGGAATGCACTGGACACCAGCGTGGTGACCTGCCCAGGGGAGGGAAGGAGGAAGAGAGCGAACACAGAGGCTGGGGAGTGAGGCCTCCTCCATCCCATCTCTTGCGCCAGCCCCGCCAGGAAAGTGGCACCTTACCGCAATCACCCACCGGTGCCGGAGCCGCAGCACAGCATAGCCCAGGAGCAGTCCGGAGAAGCGGAAGAAGGCCAGGGCCTGGTGTGGGGGGCCGGGGAACCGTCACGGGCAAGCCAACGGCCCCACCCCTGCTGAAGGCTGGCCTCCCCCTCCAGTCCTGCTGCCTGAGGTTCCCTCCACATGGTGTGCACACCCCAGGAGAGGATGGCCGAGGCCAAGTCAGCGTTTCTTTGGGGACGATCTGGACGTGACCTTCTTGGATAGGGGTCTCTCGTCTTCCCCTCCCACTTGGGGCTCTCTGAAGGTGGGGCCTCATTTAGGAACCCGTTTGAATACTGAGGGTTCCCTGAAGATAGGAGCAAGTCTCCCTGATCAGATTAGGGTGTGTGTTGCGAGAAGAGAATCCAGCGAGAGTCGCGCTCCTATGCCCTCTGTCCCCAGGATCTCCAAGGCCACTCACCAAGATGTCAAAGAAGGAAGTTTCAAAGCTGTAGTGGATGATCTCCTGCTCCAGGTTCTTCTGGATGCCTGTGTTGGTCTGAAGAGAAAGATGTGGACAGCTCTGCAAGCAGAACCAAGTCCCCAGGGCTGCCCCTTGTTCTCCCAGAGGGGGAGGGGGCGGGAGGGGGAGAAAGTAGAACCAGGAGGAGAGGCTGTAAATGCTCAGCTACCACCCAAGAAGCCCCTGAGGCAGCAGGGGAGCTCAGCCAGGGACCTGAGACCCCAGCACTATTACTGTTTCTCTAAGGATCCAGGCAGCCCAGACAGGCGGGGCTAAGCTGAGGCTCAGACACTCACGGGCACACTGCCCAGGAAGAGGCAGGCCTGGAGGGCCTTGGGGCTGTGCAGGAGAGGCGATGAGCCCTATGCAGGTAGGCAGCGCTGGCACACAGGGTGCTGGGAGCATGCCTCTCACATAATTTCATCTCCCTCCCACCACTGCGGTGCTCTATCTTCCCAGCCAAGCATCCATCTGGGGTGATGGGGGCCAGGGGTGGGCAGTGGTGTCAGACGGAGCCCCAGGTGGCAAATCAATTGATTAGGTTTGTACTTAATGGGCAAAATCCATCATGCTGCTAGAGGGGATGGCATTCAGAGCGAGCAGACTGGTCCTTGCCCCTGCCCCTGCCCTAGCCACCCACACATTTTCAATGGGAACCCTGAGACCCTGGCTGGGGAGTGAGGGGTCTGGATGGACACTGAGAGCTAGAGCAGCCTGAGGCTTCAGGAGGAATGGGGTGGCAGGCTTACGCGTCTGCAGGTGGGGCGCCAGCCCCCGGAGAAGGGGGGCACAAGGGGACTCTCAGGAATGGGGCGTGGGAGCCCTGAAGGGGAAGACCCTTCACACCTAGACCGGGGCTTCTGATCTCCCACAGATGATATGAACTGGGGCAGTGGGGCTTGAGGGGGCTTGTTAAAGATACAGATGTTCAGACACTGGGTCTGAATCTCAGGCTGAGCTGAGCATCTAGAATGGTTATAAAACTCCCAGGTGATTCTGATGCTCGGGGCAGGAGCCAGCAATGTGGACAGCCCCTCACTGAACTTCGAGCCCCGGCACATCCCCACTGAATGCCTCAACCTCAAGACCGCTCTGAGCCCCGTGGAGTCTGACGCCTTGCTGCCCCTGGTCTGACACCCCACCCCGCCCCAGCTCGGTCCACCCCTTCCTCCTGACTGCTCCCTCTTGGGCTCCACAGCCCCTCCCACCCCTAACAGCCCCTGTCCCTCAAGCTCTGTCTTCCACCATTTTTCTCTTTACAGAGAACTCTCCCTCTGCCTGGGTACCCGCCTGCCCACTGCATGAGGACCCAGGACAGTGGAGTTCCAGCCCCTGCTTTGCCACGGGCTACAAGACTTTGGCACAGGTCTTATAACCCGGCCAGGGTCGTTGCATCCACTGGGCAACACACAGTCTGTTAGAAAATTTAAAAAATATATGCTCCAAAATATGAAAATAAGATGACAGAACTGAAAATTAATAAAATTTCAATTAAGTGTCTACTGAGTGAAACATTATGTTGATTCTATGAACTATTAAATCCAGCACTCTGCAATTTTTCATCACATTTGAAAACAATTTGGAGGTTAGATTTTCGCACTTTGCAAGAATTCCCAAGTCTGCATGATGACTGCTAAGCTATTACAGCCAATACAGCCAGAGAGTTTCAAAAGTAAAATTATCAAAAAATTTTTTCAGCTCTTTTCTGGCAAGTAAATATATATACTGAATGAAGGATGCGGGTGAATTTTAGTGCCTGCTTTGAGATGCTGCACGGGACCTTCAAAAGCAAGAATGTCTAAGACCTCGGAAGCTCTTCAAGCGGCCCTGAACCTTGCTGGGCCTCAGCTCTCTCATCGGTAAGATGGTCCCAAAGGCCCCGTGGCTGTGGCTCCTCGCTGAAGGTGCCAGCTCATCCCTGTGCACAAAGGACAGTCACCCTCAGAGCCCTGCCTTGCTTTCCAGCTCAACACGTCTGGAATCAAACTTACCCTCTTCACCCCTAAACCAGCCCCTTCTCCAAATTCATTTCTAGCACCAGTCATTCTCCTGACACCTGAGCTTGCGATCTGGAGGAAGGGCACCTGCCATGCAGAACTCTGACCCACTTTGCACAAGGAGAACAGGGGGTCTCAAAGAGGCTGAGTCCCTTGCTGAGGTCACACAGTTACTACAGAGGAGAAGCTGGCACGAGACCAAGCCTGGGATGCCCTGTTCCACAGCTCCTGCCTCTATATCAGGTCTTGCTCTGCCCTGTTAGCACCCGGGGATTAGGCCCCACCACCAGCTGGCCAAGCACTGCACAGGGGGAAAAGGGGGCAGACCCTGCCCCGACAGGCAGCTCCGCCTCCAGACTGCTAGGTGGCATCTCACCAAACCCAAGAGGCCAAACTGGGGGGCACTGGAAGAATGCCCCAAGTGGGGAAGGAGAGCTGGGCGCCACGGGGAACTGGGAGTTTTTACTGGTTGCTCCCCACTGTACCCTCTGCTTTTAGCACAGTATCTAGGACACAGCAGGGGCTCAAAAATGTTTGTTGAATGAATGAATTAATTAATTAATTCATTGAGCCAGAGAGTAATGTAGAGCAGAAAGAAGACAAAGGTTTCAACAGCTCAACCAGAGTCCTCTGGGCTCCCTCCTCCTTTCTCAAGAGTGTCCGCTAGGGGGCAGTATGGCGCAGAGGTCAAGACTGCAAGCTCTGGAGCCAGAGAGTCTGGGTTCAAACCCTGCCGCCTTCACATACTTGCTGAGAGACTTCAGATAAACGACTCAGCCTCTCTGAGTTTCTTTCTCTGGAAGATGAGAACAGCTATTCTTATCATCTCATTCTTCCTTTTACCTGGAAATCAACAGTCCCCCCCCACACCCCCTGCCGCCGGAGGCAACCCTCCCATACCGCAGATGGAATAACTGAGGCCCAGACAACGCCCACAGCGCGGCTTGTGCCTCCAGCCTTTCCCCCACTCACGTTCAGCTCAATGATCCAGAGCAGGGAGATGAAAAGCAGGTCGAAGGTGACAAAGAGGCAGAAGGTGCGGCGGACGTCGGAGATGGACCGGCGCTTCTCGCGAGGCGGCGGGAGGAAATGCGAGGAGAGGCTCTGGCTGTGCGACAGCGACGAGCCGAGGGAGGCCACGGCTGGCAGGCTGCGCTCCAGGTCACGGGCCGGCTCCCCAGACAGCTTGCTCATCCTGGCGGCCCCCACCTCCAGGCAGAGAGGGCTGGGCCTCAGCAGCACGGCTGCAGGAAGACAGGGCGGCTGGCTCAGGTCCTGCATGTCAGGGTCCTGGAGGTCCTGGTCACCTCCCTCATCCCTTCCCACACAGCCCCCCGGGGACCCCGTTTGCTCCCAAACACATCTGCCCCTCAGCCCCAGCCTAACCCGGTGGCCCAGGGCCCTCTCTGCCTAATTTCCCACTGTGGCCTGCCGTTCAGGCTGGAGGGGTCTGAGTATCCCTCTCACTCTGTCGTGCTTCTACACCCGCCATCCCCGGCAAAGTCTTGCAGCCCCACGGTCACCCCTGGAGGCCTCTGGGATCCTCCCCGATGTCTGGGGGCACAGCCTGCTCCTGCCAAGCGCTGCCCTGTGGTTCAGCCTCTGGGCCTGCCCCCACCCCCAGGAGAAGTCAGTCCCAAGCTCTGTTCTTTGTTTTCCAAGCACAAAGCCACATTCCCTCCCAGCAGCCAGCCCTACCCTCCCACCCCCTAATCCATGGCGACTGGGAGGGACTTCCTAGAGCAGAGTGCTCTGTGCTGGGGGCGGGATGGCGGGATGACATCTTCATCTCCAGCTATGTCCCCACCACTGCCACCTCAGGCCCACCCAGCACGGCTCTCTCCCAGCGCTCCAACTTGCTCCTCATGGGCGCGTCTCCAGGCTTCCTCTCCTCCCTCCCACCCCGCCCCGCAGCAACCACCTCTCCACACAACAGCCAGAGAAAGCTCTTCAGAACATGAATCAGATCCTGCCGTTCCCCACTTACAGCCCTTTAAGGGCGCCCCCCAGGTCTGAGGATAACAGCACCCTCCTCATGATGCCCTTGCAGGACGTGGCTCTGCCTGGCTCCTCGCACCACTCCTCGCACAAGGCACGGGCCCCGTCTCACTACGACGGCCACCCGGGCCTTCTAGGTCCCTACACGTGGCAGCCCGGTCCTGCCTCGGGGGCCTTAGACCCAGCTCTCTGGGCTGGGTGGAATGTTCTCCCCAGTCCTTTCAACGGGCAGCTCCAAAGCCCTCTCCTCAGAGCCTCCCACCCTCCTGTCCCCAGTCCCAGTTAATTTACGGGGCTTTACCTTCTCCATTGAACTCTCACCATCTGAAACCATCTTACTGATTGTTCTGCAAACGCCACGGTGCAGGCCTTTACCTGACTTGGTCCCTGCTGTCTCCTAGGACCTAGCACAATGCTGGCACTTAACAGGCACTGCGTAACTAACTGTTGAATAAACGGATGACCCAGAGGGTCTCCTGGCCCTCAGCTCCATGCTACATGGTAGAGAGGACCAGGGCAAACCCAGCCACTACCCAAGGCTCGCCCAGAGCTCCAGTGCCGACAGAACACTGCGCCCATGGCCGTGTTTCAGGCCCACACAAAGCAGGATGGTTCCTCCTATTCTTCAGATAAGACGGCCAAGGCTCCGAAAGTGTGAATGGACTTACCCATCCCTTACCTGCCTGTGCAATCACGAGGCTGAAATCCTCACGAACCCTAGAGACAAAAGGGGCCCTGGAGCACCCCCTCCCTGCCGGGCAGGCCCCAGGCCTAAGGTCTCTGCTCTACCAGTTTGCTGGCGGGGGCCCTCAGAGGCCCTGTCCCCTGCGCGGGGGGAGGAAAGGTTTAGTCTAGAGCCAGAGAAGAGCTGATGCAGTGTAGTGGGGCCTGAGTTTCTGGGAGCCCATCAAGGGTCTCCCTGAGTGTTCTCACGCCAGCACCAGGGGGCAGGTTTGGGGGCCAGTGGAAGGGGAGCCCTAGGTCTTCGTGCTTGATCCTGGGAAGGCAAGATCTAACCAGTCTCCCCTCCAGATTCGCCGTCCCCTCCATACCTTTGCTATGTCTGCTACCTTCCACGCCCCACTCCATCTACTAAGTCCAAAACAAGCCCCCCGTATGTGGCCAGCAGGGGGTTCCGAGCAAGCCGGGTCACCCATCCCTCTGCCTCTGTGCCAGTGGACACAGAGCTGGCCGTTCTCAGCAGAGGCACCAGCCCAAGGCCATCCCCCCACTACCACACTCTTGGGGTCCCTGTGACAAGCTCACCTGAAGGAAGGCTGGGCCCAGCTCTGGAAGGCGGCAGTCAGAGGAGGGGATGTGACAGGCCGCAGGCAATGGGACCCCCCAACGTCCATCAGCTGGATCTCGTGCCAGACTGCACATTCAGCGCATCCCTCACCGAGACAGGGCCGCAGCCCCAGGGCAGGTGACATTTGCTCGTCTCTAATAGCCCTCTTGTCTCCTGCCAGACCTGTCTCCATCTCTCCTCCCCCTTTCTGTCTCTCTCACAAGCTACCTCTCTACCTTTCTTTAGAAGTGTCTCTGTACCCTCTCCCACGTCCATCTTTATTTCACCCCCTCTCTGGGTCTTCCTCTCCATCTCTCTCCCATCTGTGAGTCTCTCTCCACCCCCATCGGATCAGTCTCTCTCATGTTTCCCTCTCTCTCCTCTTTTCTACCTGCCTTCCCCCTCTCCCTCTTCCCTATCTCATGGCAGGGCGCTGTGGCTTCCCCACTCCCAGTCTGCTCCAGGGTCTGTCTGTCTTTCCCCCTCCTTTCTGGGGACAGGACTTGGGTGGCAACAGCTTGGGTGTGAGACACACTCAGAGTGGCAATAGCACTGACACTCACACACCTAGATATCCCTGTGGAAGCGAGAGACAGACAGGGGCTGAGAGCAGAGGTGTTGGGGGAGCCCGGGTGAGCTGTGGACGCAGGGATGTGAGGGAGCCGACCCCGGGAGCTCTGAAGCAGGGGTGGGGGCGCCTGGCCAAGAGGCAGAGAGAGAAGGGTTCTACATTACCCTCCCCCAGGAAAGAAACTCCGGGTTCAAATAAGCAAGAGCTGGTAGGGTAGAATGGGCACTGGTCAGGAGTTAAGACCTGAGCCCCAGTTTGAGGGAAGCCACTAACCCTGAATAACTTTGGGCAAGTCCTTCTTAGCAAACCTCCATTTCTCTATGTGGGAAAAAGGTCCATGGTTTAACTTAAAACGAAACAGCAACAAGAAAACCTTACTTAGAATCTCAATATACGGGAATTCCCTGGTGGTCCAGTGGTTAGGACTCTGTGCTTTCACTGCCGAGGGCCTGGATTCAATCCCTGGGCGCAGCCAAAAAAAAGAACCTCAATATAGAAAACAGATAAAAGCAGGACTGTATGGGTCCTGCCACAAGACGCGGCCACAGAGAGCCCCACCGGTCAGCCCTTCCTCAGACTCCATCCATGGTCACCCCTGAGGCGCCTCCTTGGGTGTGGTTTGAAAATAACTCAAAAGGCTTTTGAGCTCCCTCCGACCACCTGCCAGTCTAAGAGGTGAAAGCCACCTTGGCCTGGAACGGCCCTGACCCTGGAGGATGGAAGGTGGCAGCTGCCAGCAGAGCAGCTTGGCCTGGCTTCTGCCCACCGCCCCCGCCAGGGCTGCCACCCAGCCCCCTGGGAGCAGCGCCCGCTGCCAAGCCCACCACCTGCTGTCACCGGCCCTTCCCAAGCGCCTTCAGAGGCGTCGGGAGTGGAGCAGCACGTGTGGCGTGAAGGAGTCCGCCTGGGCTGCCTGCAGACTAGACCCTTGATGTGTTTGCGGAAGCTGAGCGGCGGAAGCTGAGCGGCTGAAGCTTGGGGAGAGTGGCGGGGAGGGAGGGGAGACCGGAGGTTTTATCGTCCTCGGTCTGAAGGGAAAGAGGCGTGGGGAGGAGTGGGCAAGGCAGGTCTCTGGGCCCAGGGAAAGCTCAGCGGGCAAAGGGGAGGGGTGGGCCCTCACGCCCCCGCCCAGGCCTTCTCTTACTCGCCCCAGGAAGCACTAGCCCCGCCCGAGCGCAGCAGGAGCTCTGGGTGGGGCCCGACTCAGCGGACAGCAGCAGGCAGCTGTAGTGTGCAAAGAGAACTGGGCTCTGTGGCCAGGGCTCAAGTCTCAGCCTGCCCTTACCAGCCCAGCGAGCCACGGCAAAGAGAGCCAGGGCTCAAGTCTCAGCCTGCCCTTACCAGCCGTGCGAGCCACGGCAAAGAGAGCCAGGGCTCAAGTCTCAGCCTGCCCTTACCAGCCGTGCGAGCCACGGCAGAGAGAGCCGTTCTGAGACTCCGTTTCTTCAGCTGCATTAAGTAAAGGGAACGCTAATATACTTAATGCCATAGAACTGTCCACCTGAAAATGGCTGAAACGGTAAATGTTACGCTGTGGATGCTTTACCACAATAAAAAAGGCAGCAATAATTGCTACCGCCTCAGGCTGGCATTTATGTGCGGGTCGGGAGAAGGACGGCAGGTGCTTGGTCGGTAGGGGTGGAAATGGAACCAGCAACTGGTAAGGACGTCCAGGTGAGTGGGAGATTAAGTGGGGTGTGGGAGGGGGTGGGGCTTACACACCACAGTAGTAAAATCACCTCCAAAGGCCTGAGTTCAAATCTGAGCTCCACAGTTCACCCGCCTGGTGACCCACAGCAAGCTGTCCAAGCCTTCAGCCCAGGTTCCCTCACCTTGTGCACTAAGGGCCCAGCTACTGCAGCTCCAGGCAAATGTGTCTCCCCAGGGAGGGGCTGGGGCGGGAGGTGGGGGGCTGCCCTGGCTCCCGGCACAGGCTCTGGAGCGTGGGGCCTGGGACTGATCTCTGATACTACCCCTTCCCACTGGTGCCTGCTCCTCCCACCCCCGCCTCCCCCAGGGTCCAATCTCCACGGTTCTTAGGTGGCAGGGGCACAGACAGGGTCCTTCCCAGGCCTCAGTCACACCCGAGGCCAGAAGCTCCCGGCCGGCGTTTCCTGGCCAAGGCAAGTCTGCAATGTGAGCAATGTCCCTCCCTCACTCACTCAGCAAGCCTCCAAGGCTGCACCTGGAAACGGGGGATACCTGTGTTGAGCCTGGGCCACCTGGCGGATCAGAGGAGACAGTGGTGCGTGGGGAGCGCGTAGGACAGCAGCTGGCACCACAGAGTAAGCACGCCATAGACGTCAACCACGGCCACCAGGCCACCACGGCTCCCTCTGAGGTCCTCTCACCCTCTCCTCTGCCCAGCTTCCCACAGAGGGCTGGGCCGAGCCGCACAAGTTCCAGCTAGTGTTCCCTCCACCAGCTGCGCTCTGTGACCCCGAGGGGACGCAACGAGTCTCATCTATATCCAGAAATGATTCTCACTTCGGAGCAGCACGGCTCCTCCAAACCCTCTCCCCAGGCTGAGGGGACAGGAGACACGGGCTCAAAACACATCCCCCACGCTGCATTGCTCAGGAAATGCTGGCACTAGCCACGGGGGCTTCCCTGAGGGGTCCCTAACTCAGCACAGATCAGGAGGAATCGGTGAAGCCAAGGACTGGATGTCAAGCCAGGAGAAGATTCAAACCCTGGATTCCCACCTTACTAGTCATTGAACCTCTCTGTGCCTCAGTTTTCTCCCTGTAAAATGGGGGTAACAGTAGTACCTACTTCTTGGAGGTATTATAAGGATTAAGTGACTTATTACACATAATGGCCCCAAACAGTCCCTGACGCAGAGCGATCGCTGTGGAACAGTGAGCTAACATGACACCCCTGCCTCTTCTTTGGCGGAAACACAGCCTTGAGCTCTGACTGCCTCTGGGAGACAGCTTCAGGCCAGGGCTGGAGTTGCTCTGGATCAAGCCCCTGTTAATGCCCAGGTTAATGGAGAATCCACAGCGGGGCAGGAGGCAGAGGCTCTGCGTGCAGAAGAGGTCGGCCTTGGCTGTGTTCTGCTGCTGGCCGGTCTGGGTGGAAGCTGGCTCGGGGACGGAGGACAGCAGACCGAACAGGCCTGCAGACCATCCACAAGAAACAAATCTGGGCTGGCAGTGGCCCACGCTGGCCCCCTGCAGACATCCTCTCCTTTACTCACTGCACCCGCTACCAGGAGCTGTGGAGATGAGAAGACTGAAGCTCAGAGAGGCCTGCCTACAGCCCCCCAGCCTGGATGCGGCAGAGCTGACCCCAGGGACACGTGGGCTTCCCTCAGTGCTGGGCTGGGACCTGGTGAACCCAAACGTGGCTGCCCCCAGAGCCTGTGCTGGCTGGGGAGTGAGGTGTCAAAAGACCCCAAAGAGCTTAACAGCCACCCAGGCAGGGCCTGTGGAGAGCCTAGTGCCCTCCGCTCCACATCTGAACGATCAACAAATCCTTCAAAATCCAGCCAGTAGCGGCCACTGCTCACCATTACCATCACCTGCCCGAGCCACATCTCTCGCCTGCTACAGCTTCCTGACGGCCTCCTGTCCTCGTCCCAAGTCTATTCTCAACGCAGCAGTCAGAGGGATCCCAGTAAAAGTCAGACCACACCTCCCAATGCCCCAAACCTCCAAGAGCTTCCAGCTGCCCCAGAGTAAAGGCCCAAGTCCCCACCCTGGCCTGTAAGCCTCCTCTTCCCCTGGCCTCCTCCCCTGGAACCCTCTGCTCCAGACACACCAGTCCCTCACTGTTCCCTGGACACATCAAGCATGTTCCCAGCCCTGGACCCTTGTTCCTGCTGTCCTGTCTGTTCCTCCCCTAGGTCTCTGTAATGTCCCCTCCCTCCATTCTGGTCCCTTTGAAGAGGCCTTCCGTGAACACCCTATTTAGCCCCAACCTCCACTCCCTTCCCCTGCTTTATTCGTCTTCACAGCACACATCACCCCAGACATATTATATGTTTGCTGGGCTGTTTCCTGCCTGCCTTCTTCCACTGGAACAGGGACTCCCATGCTCTGCTCACTGCTGCGTGCCCAGTTCCCAGAACGGTACCAGGCTCACAGTAAGTATTCACAAAATGCGCTGAACGACTACTTCCACCCTCTCCTGCAGCGTCACATGCACAGGTGCACGTTCACACCCAGCCCTGGAGGAGCGGCCCCACCTGTCCAGCCTCTCCTGGAGCTGGACTCCACCCTCTCTTGGTGTTTCGTGCTGCCCAGAGCCCCGGCACCTCCGCTACCAACGGGTAAGGGGGACTGGTTTCCTGGGCACCCTCGGGCAGGGTGGCAGCTCCCCTCTTCCCTGAGCCCCAACTCACAGAGAGAAGACCTGGTGAGGAGTTAAATTCCTCAGATAGCAAAAGGGTCCCCAGCACTCTTCTCTTGCTATGGGGTTGATACCCCTCCTCCAATACTCTCCAGATCACTGGCTGCTCCCAGGACACACCATGGCCAGCTGGTCTCCCTTCTGTGCCTCCAGTGCCTCTGTTTCCCCATTTTGGAATGACCTCCTCCCCCTGGGGGGAGCTCCAACTCTTCAGAGACCAGTTCACAAGGCACCTACTGGGCAAACCTCACCCTCAGCCTCAGGATTCCCCAAGCCCAGGTCTCGGGACTCTGCCTCAGCACTTCCCTCCCAACACGCTAGACTTGAGCCTAAAAGTCATCTCTCCTGAAGCCCCTGAGGCCCAGTCACAGTGTCTGGCCATACATGGCACATATC